GATTTACCTATACTTCTTCAACCCTGAAGATGGAGGCGATACGTTCCTCCGAAACGTCGGTTAACACCACATATACACGGTGCCAAATCCCAGAAGACTGCTTTCTTCATAGTCACCGCCGTGAAAGCCTCAAATCTGCCATAAATAGTGATTGTAACCAAAAATGAGTATATTAAACCTAGGGTAAAGCCACGGGTTAGTCGTGTTAAAGTTCCTCCGAAGAAAGACCTGTTATCGACCTGAGAAAAGAGATCCATGCCTACCATTATCCTAAATCAACCTGGTTACCTCAAAACCCAAATAACAAAGAAGGGTAAAGGTGGAAGGAGCGGCAAGCAGGAGCAGGCGTAGAAGTGACGAGGAGGAAAGCGGCCGGAGCAACGACGAGCAAACAAAGAGAAGAGGGACGGTAGTACAGGGGCGGCCCGCGTATGGGCAATGCGGAACTGCAGCACCCCCAGTTTCCACATGATATTATCGATAACATTTATATAATGAGTCCTTTTTTCTTTAATTCTTTCTTTATACTTGTACAATACAATGTATAATCCTTAAGCTTAATGTCAGTAGCCAAATCTTTGTATGGTCACAGTTCCAGCGGCGAGGTGTTCGTTGACTGTGTGCATGCGCACATAGGAAGCTACACGCGAGGCTGCAAGGGTGAGGGAGCACTGCAGGAACGACAGTGCCGACCGGTGATGACGCTGGCATGCTGATGGAAGGTAGTTTTTTTTTACTCCACGTGTGTTGTGCTTAAAAAATATGAGTTAATTGTAGAATTAGATTATTATTCTGCTTCCAGCTATTCTATTTGATTCATTTTTTTCGGTTCTTTTATTTAACAGAAAACTTTAACCATGGCCTTGCATCCCCGAGAAATAAGTTCTGTGACTGTAAGTGAACTTCAACAGCTTAAGTTTTCACAACTGTCTCTCCATGAGAAAGTTGCAGTTTAAGAAAAGAGATCGTTTAACACCTGATATTCTAATATCTCAGCCAGGCATTAGCAAGAACAAGAAATATATTCATAGCTTTAATTCTGAATGGTACGAGCGGAAAAGTTGGCTTTGCGACTGTGAAGTAAAAAATGCACTGTTTTGCTTCCCGTGTTTGCTGTTTGGGGGCGATGTAACGTGGACAAAAGATGGTTTTAGAAATGTAAACAAAATGAAAGAAAAAACTGAAAAGCATGAGAAGTGAAAGAAGCACGTTGATAATACAGTTTCACTGTCACTTTTAGGAACCGTAAG